CCGTGATGAGTTGGGCAACCTCTGTGAAAGGGTCATTCGACCCCCAAAGGGGTCGCGACCCACAGGTTGAGAACCGCTGCCTTCAAGTGAAGCCCCTTAGAGTCCTGGGAGACCCAGGGTGGTGGAAGAATTGGATCTGCGCATCATCTATGCCTGCTGCTGTTGGTAAAGTGTGCTGGCGGCTTGGTCAGCAGTTCAAACCCACGAGCTCCTCTGCGGGAGCAAGATGAGGCTTTCTGATTCCTTCATGAGTGAGGGTCTCAGGAACCCACAGGGACAATTCTACCCTGTCCTGTTAGGTCGCTGTGAGTCGGATGGACTCGATGGTAGGGAGTTAGGTTTGGGCTATTGTCAGTTGCCGGGGAGCTGGCTCCCACTCGCGGCAACCCCGTGTGTGCCACGTAGAACAGCCCAGCGGGTTTTCAAAAGCACGCCGCCAGGCTTTTCTTCTGAGGTGCCTCCAGGGGGGTTTCAGCCCCCAACCTTTTTACCAAGTGAAGTCCAGCAGCACTTCTCTGTTTTCTCCATCCAGGGACTCTCCACACGCAGGTCTCCCTGGCCTTTTGAAAGGAGAAAGCTCCTTTAAAACCTCTCTTAGGCCCAAGTGGCCCAGGCAGTCGCCAGTTGTTTATATGGGGAGTTTTTGAGTGCTCCCAGACCCCCAGAACCACAGCAAACAGCACAGGAGACCTGGCACAACACTACCAGAGTGTCCCAGGCACAGCTCGAGGCCAGGATGCGCGTGCAATTCCCGGGGGAAGGAGCGCGGCATCTCCACGCTCACGGCCTGCGGCGCATGTGCGGCCTCTAGTTTTGCTTCTTGCTTCTCTTTCTTTTCTTTAAAATAGAAGCATAATGGGTTTTCTTTGGACTTTTTATCTCCTCCCACAAAAGCCCAAATCCTCCCTGGCTTTCTCTCAGTGTGCAAAAGCAGGTCTGAATGTAGGCCTTTTGTCAGAGCCACGGGGGCGGAGGGCACACGTTGGAAAAGCGGAGGCCAGCTGTATGCTGGAGTCACAGATGTTGTAGCGGCCGGGAAACCATTGATGCTCTAGAGTAGGCCTGTGCTGCTCAGTGCTCAGCAGCAGCTGCCTTCACATCTAACACTGTACTCATCCCTCACCGCTGGGCATGTTCCAAAACACTGCCGTGTAGTAACTTATTTCATCTCTACACCGAGTCTGTAAGGTTTGGAGTCCTGGAGGCTTGGTAAGGTTACAAGGTGGGCGGCTAACTACCAGGTCAGCAGTTCAAACCCACCAGCTTCTCTGTGGGAGAAAGGGCTTTCTACTCCTGTCAAGTTACAGTTGCAGGAACCCACAGGGGCAGTTCTACCCTGCTCTAGAGGGTCGCTGTGAGTTGGCATCGACCCAGTGGCAGTGAGAGTTATGGTCACGGTTTACGGTTTGGGAAATGGAGGTGCAAGAGGTAAAGCAACTTGCTCAAGGACGCACGGGGACTGAGGATGTGTTCCCGGGGGTGGAGGCAGGGAGTCCAGATGCAGGATCCCAGCCTTTATCCTCAGAAATCCTGATTCCAGGGCCTCTGGGCTGAGATCCTAATGTGAAGAATGGAGATGCCCCAGTGGAGTCGTGGTTATGTGTTGGGCTGCTAGGTCAGCAGCTCAAAACCACCAGCCATTCTTCAGGAGAAACACGGAGCTTTCTGTTCCCTCAAAGAGTTCCAATCTTGGAAACCCACAGGGGCAGATCTACCCTGCTCTCTAGGGTCGCTGCGAGTCGGAATCAATTGATGGTAGTGAGTTTGTGTGTCTTCTTTTTATTTTCGGTTGAGAGCCAGGAAGCAGTGTTTCACATCCTTCCCATGACTCACATGAACATGTCCTCAGGGTAGACCAGTCCCTGGGAGAAGAACATCATGCTGGATAGGTAGAAGGTCAGCGACAAAGAGGAAGACTCTGAAAGGTATGGGTCAACACAGTGCCTACCACAGTGGTCTCCCACCTAACGACTGTGAGGATGGTGCAGGACTGGCTGGCATTCCATTCTGTGGTCCATGAGCTGCTGTCAGCGGGAACCAACTGAGGTCCCCCAACAACAACAAATGACTCTCCCACCAGCCAGAGCTAAGAACCACTAGTCTACCCCAGGGCTAACCAACCATTCACCCTCTGGCTATAGCGACGGCTGGCCCACAGCCAGGGTTTCTTTGGTTCACGCACAAAACTCTGCTAATGAGTTGATTTTGACTCATAGCAACCCCACAGAACAGAGTGGGGCTGTCCCCCGTTGAGCTGTCAGGGCTATAAAGTTGGACAGGGAGCAGACAGCCTCATTAGTCTCCCTCGGAGCAGCTGGTGGGATCCCACTGCTGGCCTTGTGGTTAACAGCCCAGCATGTGACCCACTATACAACTGGGGCTTCTCTTGGACCTCTCACTGCCACTGAGTAGATTCTGACTCATAGCGACCTTGCAGGACAGGGTAGAACTGCCCTTGTGAGCTTCCACAACTGTTGGACCTCTTTACGGGAATCCTGTTGAATCAGAGTGTTGTAAAAAGACTCATCCTTGCCTTTACAGTCAGTTTCTCTCAAAGATGCCAGGTTTATTCTGAAGAATTCTGGGTGACGTGGACCACATTGTGTCTACATTTCCCGCCCCAGACAAGAGTCGGCGGAAGCCAAGTGGCAGACGTCCCTTTTAGGGACTGAATGTTTCCTGGAGGATGTTGGTCTCCAGCCTGTATATTCCCTCCCTGGATCCTGCAGGCATTCCCCTGTATATTCCCTGGGTTGGCTTGGTGGACACACCGTAAGGGAAAGTGAGGCCCAGAGTGGACACATACTCTAAAGCGTCGAAGTGTCTCCTGACCTCCGAATCTGATCATCGACAATGACAGCAGCTATCATGTTTTGGAGAGCTTTCTCTGCACCGGACAGGGTTTCTAAGTGCTTTTCAAGCACCCAAGAGCAATCAACCACCATCCTTAAGTAGAGAGATCTGAATGAATCACATTTAGCAGGGGAGAAACACGGGGCAGTGAGAAATCAAGTGGCTTGTCCTAGTTCATACAGGTCAAAAAACTCACTGCCATTCAGTCCCATTGAGTCCATTCCAAGTCGAGGTGACCCTACAGGGCAGAGAAGAATTGCCTGGTGGGTTTCTGAGACTACCTCTTTCCTGGGGTGGAAAACCCCATCTTTCTCCTGAGCAGCTGCAGTGGTTTTGAACTGCTGACTTTTCGGTTAGCAGCCCAATGCATAACCACTAAGGCACCAGGCTCCTGGGTTATACAGTTAACTCACTGCCATCGAGTTGATTCTGGCTCACAGTGACTCTATAGGACTGAATAGAATGGCCCGGGCGGGTTTCTGAGACTGTAACTCTTTACGGGAACAGAAAGTCTCTCTTTTTTCTCACGTGCGGAGCCGTTGGTGGGTTTCAACTGCTGACCTTGAGGTTAGCAGACCAGCGTGCAACCCACTACGCCACCAGGGCTCCTCATTCTGTGGATTAGGGGCGGGGGTGGGAGGCTCAGGCACAGATGGGGCTGACCCCGTTTTCCCTGCCACATCCACAGAGTCCCTTGTGGCCGTGAACAAAGCGTAGGGGGGGTGGGGTGGGGGGAGAGAAGAGGCGATGCCCAGTTCCCTCTAAGCTGTGAGTACATTGGAGAGGCTCGGAGGCTGCGTGCAACGGAGCCGCTTCAGCACCAAGGACAGCAGTTGCGCTCCCAGCCCCAAACCCCGCAATCTGTTTCCATCATTGCTCCCGGGCTCTCCTTCCACCACTTCGCCCAGAGCTTTAGGGGAACGCAGCTCAAGGTCCGCCCCGCCGCAGGGCAAAGACTAGATTTAAGAATTCCAGAAAAGTCTCCCGTGTTTCCCTCTAGGATTCCTCCCTGCAAATGGCTGACAGTCAGTCGCTCGGCGCCGAGCGCACACCGGCCTGGGAGCAGCAAGCAATCAGGGAGCGCGCGCGGCCAGCCCCGCGTTCCCCTCTCCTTTCATCTTCCACGCAATCCGGACCCCACCACCAGGGGGCCTTGCTGTGAGCGCACCTGCCTCCACCCCCACCCCCCGCCGCACCGTCGTCATAGCAACCGCAGAGGCCTGGGAAGCGATTGGCCGGCTCGCTGCCCCGCCCCCTACGCCACTGCTTCCTGGTAACTGAGGCAACGGAGAGGCGTGGCCCTCCTCCTCCCTCGAGAGGGCTGCTACGGGCCCTTTCTCCAAAAGGGTGACTGCCCTGTTCCAGTGATTCACTTAATGGGAAGGAGGAAGGCGTGTGAGACCATTTCTAAAGGTGTCCAGGATGGGGCCGGGCTGCAGGTGATGTCACTTCCGGTGACAACAGGAAGTGGGAGGCAGGTTGCTCAGAGAGACAATGGGATGCAGTGGAGGAGGGGAGAAGGGGGATCGATGGAAAAGCGGGATTTGGGTGCAAATTTTCCGTCTTTCACGCCCCCCCGCCGAACTGGACCAGCGCCAGGAGACCATCTTTCTGATGAAGGCTGATTTGTTAATAGTCACCATTATTGTGGATTTTATTCCGACTCTTGGCCAAACCCTAGAGGATTAGGGCAATACTGCTCCGTGAGGTTTCCAAGACTGTAACCCTTTACAGAAAGCAGACTACCAGCGGGTTCCAACCTCCGGCTTTTTTGCAGTTAGCAGCAGAGTCACCAGAGTCCCTATTTATAATAACTATCAAATATTGAGGAGGCTTGGCGTCCTGGGCTACGCCTTGGGCTGCTGACCACAGTCGTCCGCAGGAGGCAGCTCAGACTTTCTGCTCCCATAAAGAGTTAACAGTCTGGGCAACCCTCAGGGACAGGTTCAACTCTGACTCATAGGGTCCCGATGAGCCGGAACTGACTCGTTTTGAGTTTGACCATATATGAATGTGTGCGATTTTTATAGGCACCCTCCCGCCGCATCCCACCCCACCCCCACCCCTCATCGTCCAGCTATGCGGGAGGGATGTCCCATCCCCCACGTCGCCAGCTTTACAGTCTCACCCAGGCTGCCCCAGCTGACCTGCTTGGCTCTGTCAGGATTCATCGTGGTTTGAGGTTGAAGGATGTTGACCACTTCGGGCTTGGTCATCGCTTGCGGGATTTCTCGGACCTTCTCCGCAATAAAGCTGTGCACCGCATTCAAGGCCTCCGCTGTGCCCTGCACCAGGCACACCCGCTCAGTGGTTCCTGTTGCCCCCGGGGGAGGTGGGGGGGGAGAGGGCAGGCACGTTAGGCTGCGATGGCGATATTCCTGAGTGGACAAGTCACCCACGAGATGCCCATCCGGCCCCACCCCATGCGTGTCACGGCAATGTCTGCTGTGTCAGAGCGCGACCCACAGGCTTGCCAATGGCTGCTTTGGCCCCAGACATAGATGGCCAGAACTTTCTGCTGAGACTAACCCCAAACCCAAACTCACTGCCATCGAGCCCATCTGGACTCATAGCGACAGGCCTCATCTCATGGACTCCTGGTAACTGAATTCCAGAGAGTGGGTCTGACCCGCCCCGCAGTGACAGGCGGTACACATCCACTGGGCAAGCCAGCATGGGCACCCAGGCCACGTTGGACAGCTGGGAGAATGAGTTGAATCCCTGTTTTGTACTTTGCACCCCTAAACCATTTCCAAGAGCGGGGAGAATGAGGCTTAAGTGCTCTGCCATGCCCGCAG